GAATTTTAGAGTCTTTGTTTTTATTCTTGTGGTATCGAAAAGGGTATCGAGTGTCGAATATTTTACTTAGTATTGGTATCGAGCTGAAAAGTTTAGTATCGTGACAACCCTAATATACACACACACATGAATTTCAAACAAATGGTATCGGTATCGGCCAATAATGCACAGCCGGGTATCGGGGCCAAAAACTGGCATCGGCGCAACATGTATATTTATCCTACTTTGTGTCGTTATTGGGGTTCTGTTTAAAGGAGTTCTTGGTTCTACAGGTCTGACAGTAATTGGGTCTTGCTTTTGCTTTTCAGTTTAACATACAAAGTAGATAACTTTTATAAATTACAATTTAAAATGAGAACATTAAATTCAGATTTGACACTGGGTCAGGGTTGATTACAACTATATTTCATTTAACCAATGAAATCCTGGTGTGGCGAACTTTTCACACAGTTTACATCTAATTCATAAACTGTGGCTCTAGGAGCTTGGTGAGGTGGACTGGTACTAGTAAGACAGACAGATGAAATACATTTCTCACTAGAGGCACTGGAGTAGAAACATTGGCCTACATCCATCTACTCTCCTTATATTCTGAGCAGTCATTCTCCCTCATGCAAGACAAAAACAACTGGAAAAAAGAAAAAGAAGAGTTGAAAAGAAATCTTAATTTTTTCATTTTGTTTTTTGGGTCACCTATTTTTCCTCTCCCTCTGATGAGACTAGATTTCTCCTTCATAGCAGAGAGCTAGAGAAGCTGCATGGAGATATAAGCCGGTTCTGATCCAAACAAGCTGGCATGTCATGGATCTGTTGAGAGGTTTCAAGATGAGTGTTTACAACAGACAGGTCCTGCAGAACTGATCCCCTCTAAGTGCAGAGAGTGTTTTCATAGAGCTTCCTGCCTTTCAGCTGATATGTGCAGTTGTGTATCAGTCCCTGAGGTGCAGACTGTGGCAGATATCTGCATCTGTGCTCACATGAGGGCTTTTCATGTCATCAGATACAGGTACAGTTTGCATCAGTCTCACTGTAGTTGACGTGATTTGTATTGTAATCCCTGAAAAGCCTTAGGAGAGGGAGGGGAAGTAAAAGGCATATAGCGCCCTCTAGTGGTTCAGTCAGGTAAGAGTTTTGTTGTTCTATATTACACCTGTGTACATTTAAGAGCCTTGTAAAACATTTATATGCAATTAGTTTTGCATTTATTACAGGAAAAAAACCTGTGATTTCTATTCATATTTCATCTTACCAACAAAAAGCAGCACATAATTATAAAGCACATGCAAATTTAAAGTGTGGTGGTGCAGCTGCATTTACTTTAAGACAAATAGATAATTTACTGTTCTATCCATCGATAGATTGATCTATTGCTGCATATCGCATTTGACCATCAGAATATGATCTGAATGTTGATGAAGGCACAAATGCAAAAAAAAAAAAAAAAAAGGTTAGATCATGGTGTCTGCTGAATTGCAAATCACTTTGTATCTTCTTTGAAGATCCGCTCTGGTCATACAAACGTGTTTGCACCTTTTTTAAGACGAAGACCCTCTACAGATCAGGCTCTATGTGAGTCTACCAAGTAAAATATAAAGAAAACATACAGGGTTTATATGTCTAGAAAACCTTTTTAAATGTGAATAATTTCTTAGATTTAGATTTTTTTTCTTGAGAAAGGAACACTAAAATTTTTTTTAAAAAAGTCCTGGTGATGGTCAAAAATAAATGTAGAGGCAATGCATTTGGCTGAAACAGATGGAATCAATGTTTTTAACTGATGCTGCAAAATAAGCAATCAGATATCATGTTTATATTATGTGCACATGTTTATATTAGAGATTAGTATGGTCTCATGCTGACACTGGCTCCATTTTAAAAACAGGTTTACAGCTAAAATAGTTGATTAATTTAGTTTCCATTTCAACGATCAGTGAAAGAAGCTTTGAAAACCCATTTTATCAACATTGATCTAATTTAAATATGTTTTCTGCATAGCTAAACTATTTTTTCTACAACATTAAAAAAGTAAGGGATGCTGTATCTCTTCCTCTGCAGCTGAAGCCATCTTGGCTTTTCTTCTCCTTTTGACTCGACACAGTTAATTGTATCTCTAGAAAAGTGGTGCATTTCTTCATCTTTGTTCTGTAGATCTACAAGTGATGCAGCGTTTCTAACTGGGTCACCCCATCCCTTCCTTACATCTCCCCTCACCCCGGTGTCTATCCAAGTCACTCCTCTTTTTCTGCTCCTCCTCTACCTACTTACACCTCAGTTGAGTTTTTTCCCCCCTTCTGCTTTGCATGCAGCTCATGTGTTTACCATGTGCTGCATCTTTTGCATCCACATTTACTCAATCCTCTCTCACAGGCTGCCACGCTTTTCATTTTCATGCAAAATACCTCCTCCCCCATGCAGTTCTTTTTCTTTATTGAGTAAATATCTATCTGAACACATCAGCAATCTTTGTTTTTCACCTCAGATTAAAACACTTTTTTTTTATTTATGTGGAATTGGTTACAACAGCTCGAAAGTACTCCTGAGCAGCTGTTGTGATTGGCTGATGTGGTCAGTCCTCTGATGTGTTGGAGCATATACATGAACTCAGTGGTGTCCAATCAAGGACTGTTACCATGGAGCCACATGGATAACCTACACGTGTCTCTATGATGCCTGAACATAAAACATTAATTGAAACACTTTCTAATTCCCTTTACCCTGAAAGAGACCAGTTGCATATTTTTTTACATCAGTGTGAGATTCATGTCATGCTGTCTGATATCGGAAACAGACACAATCTATTTGCACCATGCAAAAGGAAAAATTTTCAACAAATTAGCTTTGCAATACAGCAAGATTTTTATAGAGCGTGGGAATAAAGAAAAAAAAGAAGCCAATCACGTTCTACTGATGTTGATCTAAACAAGGTTTCTGTTTTAGCTCTAACCACATGTTAAGTATTTTCGCTATACTGGAGGGTAAATGTGCCTGCTTCAAAGAAAATTGCTTTATTCTTGCCACTCTTTCATGAAGATCTGATTTATTGGGTGCATGATGTGGATTTCACATCAAAAGATACTCCAACCAGCTTTGGATGTCTGTAGTCTGACATTAAATAAATGTTCTTACAAGTCAAAGTTTACTTTCGAAATATCTGCAACCCGTTCCATAACATTGACATCTATGTCAGAAGTGTAGGTCATTTACAATCGCTATATTTATATATAAAATGAAAACAGAAGCATTTATCCAATTACAAAAACAATGCGACTGAAAACAGCCTAGAAATAATAGTTTGGATCATTCAGGAGGTTTTCAATTAAAATACCATTGATCTAAAGAGAGCATTTAATACAAAAGACCGTAAATTATTAACCATACACTTCAGGTATACTATGGGTTTGTTCTTTAACAGGTCAAAAGTTATCCCAACAACAGACAGGAAATTATAAGTCACCATGGTTACATTTGAGGTGCAGCAGGGGTTAGTTTCGGGCCCCAGACTGTTTAGTTCATTGGTTAATTAAGCTCTCGCGAATGACAAAAATATGTGCCATTACAAATAATACCCGTATTTTTTACCACTGGGGGGGATTCGCTAAGACGTCCATATACGGTTAAAACAAAAATAAATCTATATTATTGTTTGGCAAAAACATTATCTTTTAATGCAGTTAAAACTATATGAAGTCACTCAGGAAGTATGATTTGGAATCTCTTTTATGTTATTCTCTATGACAGAGGTCTTCAACAGTCTAATCAATGAAAGTTTCAGTTGATTAGACTTTTTCTTATATTCCCCCCTGCAATGTTTTGCCTCTAATTGAAATGTCTTTAAATACACATTAACATAAATTAAACACACTGTAGTAAACAGATAAATGGAGGCAGAAGATGTCTTTCAGTCATCAACGCACACATTCAGCGACACACAGGTGCTCTTTCAAGCTGGGCACCGTTTCATTCACAACACCTGTCCCATCAACCAGAAATCAGAATCAGAAATACTTTCATAATCTCAGGGTGAAATCACTTTCGTTACATTACTCCATATGTAATAGAGTGACTATAGGACCAGTTTGATATAATACAATTTCATACAATATATATATAGGGGGTCCATGCTCCATCTCGCCATCAGTTTGGGGGTTCTTGGCCTGGAAAACACTGAAGACCCCAGCTCTATGACAATAAAATAAACCTAACAATAAAAGAATAATTAGTCCAAGGCTTTGTTACAGGGGCCAGGACCAGTTCTAAAGGGGCACTGGCCCCTAAGGCCCAGTCTTACAACCAACCATGGATATAAAAAAGAAAAAAAGTAAAGTACTTTTTTTTTTTTTAAAGAAATTTTCTTTTTTATTAATCATTTAATGCAATGTAAAATATCACAGCATCATTCCTGTTCATAATAAGACAGGGTGATTATAAATTGTTCTTTTATGTCCGTGTTTACTGTGGTAAAATGACTGTACAGGCTGCAGTCAGCTGCTCATTCAGATAGGGCCCACTTCCACGCTGTACAGCGGACCACGCCCCTGTTCGTTTGAATGACAGCACTGATCTGGAGACAGCAGGGTGGCCAGTCACGCTCTCGCCATGCAAATAAGCTCCTCGTCGAGCCGGGCGGGTGCCCATGTGGACCAGCACCATGCCTTGTTGTTCTGAGCGCTGATTGGCTGACTGGCTTCTGATCGCACTGCACGCGCTGCGGGTTAACGGCTGGAGCAAAAGCGCGGAGGATCACCGACGTCATCGGATAACGTTTGTGTGCAAAGCGATGCCACACGTCGATTTGAGTTACTTCTAGATATTTAATCTGTATATTTGTTTTAGTTGTAGGATAAATGTAATAGTTTGACCGCTTAGTAATTGTGAAAAACGTCGGAGAGGCGGCGGTAGGCGTGAAGTGGTCGCCAGGTTTTAGGGGTGGCTGTAGTAGAAGGGCGGGGCAGGAATCCGGGAGGGGCGGGGCTTACCGAGAACACGACTCGCCTTGTTGTGTGTGTATTCTCGCGCTCGCTTCGCCATCTTGTTGCAATCTTTTTTTTTTTTTTCCTTTTTTTAAAATACGTAATTGGGGGGGGATCTACTTTCTGTTTGGCTGGATTGGAAAAAAAAAGCTAGCCGCCTGTTTGCTGGAGAACCACACAAGGAGGTTCACACGGGTGTAAGCCCGTGCACGCAACGCTTTATACCGGGGCACTACTTTCATTTACCCTCCCCTCTTTTTTCCTTCCCGGACCACCGGGTTCCCTCCCCCCCATCCCCCATCCCCGCCCCTGCCGTCAAGGTTTACGCGAAATGAGTATCGACACACTTTTGGAGGCAGCCAGGTACCTGGAATGGCAAGCCGAGCAACAACAAACCAGACTCGGTGAGTTGAGCAGTAAACTTAGCGGAGCGGAGGGACATTTTGGGAGAGCTGCGGCTGTAGTGTTAAACCTGCCTGTCTGTCTGCTGCTGGGGGGGATCTGAAAGGCTTTCTGCCGCCGATTAAATACAACTGTCACCGGTCAGACTTGTTGGATCATACATTGATCATTGAACCTGAAGGCGGAAATAGCCAGGAATGTTTTTCTGAACTACCTCTTTGCGCGCCCCTGTATGTGTGTGTGTGTGTGTGTGTGTGTGTGTGTGTCAGCACCCTTGTGACTCACCGTACGCGCGCGCGTCTGCGTGCAAAGGGAAGCATAGCAGAGGATTTCCTTTCAGTACAAATGATCCTTTTAAAAATAATCTGTCTTGGAATCTGAAAGTTAAACCTACTATTTTTACTATTATTATTTTAATTATGCGGTGTTAACAATCCATTTTCTCAAGTGTTTTATAAAAGCTCATAAATCAACGTTGATCGTACCAGATTGAATATAATGTGATACAACTAATTTAAGTGGATTCGTTTTTATTATGCTGTTTCGGTGGGCACCGGCAGGGCGGTGTCGAGCAGAGAGGCTTGCTCTTTACATAATAGTCTGACATTGCTCAGATATCTTATGACACACACACACGCGCTTCAGGGCGGGGCTCCCCCCCCCTCACGCGCTCGTCTCATTTCTGTTTCTGTTGCGAGGGAACCATTAACAGGGAACGGTCGTTCCCCATTTTGTTTGCAATGGAACCTGATAAGTGGGGCGCAATGTGTGGTGATTAGGTCAAAGGGGGGGTGCTTTGTGTGTCTTGATCCCGCTGATGACGTGTCAGACACCCCTTTCCTTTGCTTCATGCCGCGTGCTAAGATCCACCCACACCGACCACGTGCACTACACCCCATCCCCATCACTCCCACAAATACACGGCTCTGCGCATGCGCAAACTCGCACATCCATGCTCTTTTGTGGGCCCTGCCCTTCCCTTTCTGCAGGGCTCACATAGTGGAGGGTCAGAGGGAGTCAGTAAGTAGGACAACTCCCTGTTTATCTCCAGGTATAAACCAGATGAGGATAAGTTTATCAGCTGATAACAAGTCCTGATGAACTGTGCTGTATTTACTCTCTAAGGACCATGTTAGTTGTTTAAAACCAGAGAGCTGATGCTTAGAAACAGGGAGGGACAACTCTTTATTTCATATTTTTGTTTTTTTTCTCTTAAAGAAATAAATTCTGCTTGCTGATAACATCATAAATTGTCCATAATGTAATGTTTATGGAAATAAAAATGCTATAACTGTGTAACACATGTGTCACATGATCATAATTCTCTTTTTAAATTGTTGCAGAAACCCCTAAAGTTGATTTTACTATGAAGTGGAATATTGATTCATACGTGAATTATCTGATTACCGGTAGAAGACCTTTTGCTTCCCATCCAAGAAGCTTTTTCAATCCAAAATGTCAGGAATAGTTTTAAACTGTATAAAACCTTGAAGTCAACACTATTATCTAAGCAGTTCATGAGGTTATTTAAGAAAAAAAACATTTCACACCCTGATCAGTGCATTATACATGCATATTGGTTAAAGGTAATGGCCGCCATTTTTGATTAGGTTATTGGTACTAGGGTTGTCACATTGCAAGAGTGTAAAGTCTATTTGAATACCCAGAGAAATATTCAATATTTGATACCAAATTTGATAGCATGGGGATAAATGATTTAAGGAATCATTTTGTAGTTCAAGGACTTACATAATGTTTGATATGTTTACCATGAAAAACGTGCCCTCTATCCACCTCAATGTGGAGCATTCTTTCTCAACAGAATCAAGGATACTAATTACATCATTGTAGAAATGAATGCAAAATAAATAACCCAAATAAAACCCAAACTGACAATTTTTTAATGTTGTCTGAGGTATTATTATATCTGCAGATATTCCAGATGTCAAAATTTAACAATCGATTAAATAAACAAAAGACAGTTGATTTTAGTATCCTTAGCATGCCAAATGACTATGTATCCAGACACAGCGTTTATATTGATATGCTGAAAAGTATTAATATTTTTTTACCCTATTGGGTAAAAATAAGCCCTAAAGCGCCTAAATCTCACATATAATGTATTTATTTGAATTATGTTTCTGAAACATTTCATAATAAAACTCAGATTCAGGCAAATTGGTTCTTTATTTTTTATTTTGCATGGACTGTTGGCCTTTATCAATCTGAAGTGACTATGAAAGACCTTCTTAAGATGGATATTATTCCGTATAGTCGCAAAACAGTCCATTCTTTGTGTAAAATAAAAAACTTACTTTAACTCAATGTTTTTTTTTTGTAATCAGTGTAATTTACAGCTCACATTTCAGTTGTACATGATATGAGATAAATGCTCTATGCTAATGTTTAACATGCATCACAGTACTCTACATTTTTAAGTCAAATTAAATAGTCAATAGTAAAATAATGAGTCAATTTAATGTCTGGGTTTACAGCTACAATTTCTCATCTAAACACTAAATTATGATAAACAGAACAAATTGAGCAGAAAGGTGATCTTTTATCTATTTTTTTGGCATGTCATCGTGACGACGGTATCCAGTGGTGCAGGTTCTCTCAGGAGTGAACGGTTTTCCCAGCTGAAAGGAAATTGCACCATCAGGGCTTTGCCGAGTCATGCAGAACTGAAACCAAAGTGTTTCCTAATATTCGGCCAGGCATTTTGATTGTTTGGTGCAGTTCTTTTATAAAGTGTTGGAACTGTTTGGGAGGCACAGACAGATTTGAGAAATCCCTGGGATCCTCTGATTCTTTTTTTTTTTTATGTAGCCGTTTCCATGGTAACACAGGGCTTTTCACATCCCTCTGAGCCTGGTGCTGCAGTGTTCACTGGCTGCTCACTTCGCATCGCTGTGCAGGCGTGTGTTGTGGGAAGCTCCTGTGTGCATGTTTAATTTCTTCAATGCCTTAGATTCCTGCTCACTTTCAGGACGCGGCAGTGCGAGTGGTTTTCCACCCCCACTGAGTGTCTCCTTACAACAGTCGGCCAGTCCTTTGCTGTTGATCAGTTGTCCTGAAGTCGCCCAGGGCTGGAGCCGTGTTCAGTGCTGGAGTCGTCCAATCACAGAGCTGATCTCTGGTCAAACACAGCTTCTCTTGTTTTTCTACCCACTCCCTTTCCCCTATGATGTCATTCCTTGTTTGTGTTTGTTTGCACAAAGTGTTGTAAAGTTGACTTTACAGACCGGATGACATTGCTAGGGTTAGCCGGGGTTTGCTTAGGTCGTTTAATGGCCATTATTTAACTAGCTGTAATCTTCAGTGTTTTCTAATGTTTTCTCCCAGTTCCTAAGAAGAATTTGCATTCATAAAACATCCCTGTGTTTCCTCAGACATTAAGATAAATATAATAATTAAACTTTATTGATGTCACAATGTAGACATTTACTTATGCATTTAACTCAGCCCCTTGGAGAGTAGTGGGCTGCCATTGTGTGGCGCCCGGGGAGCAGTTTGCTCAGGAACTCAGAGTGGCAGCTGCGGGGATCCAACTGGGTTCTTGGAGCCCTCTCAGAGCACAAGCACATTTCTAACTCTCCATAAATTTACCATGACAGCGCCGTACATGATTGTAATGTGGACAGACATTATACCTGCTTACCGAAAGTGTGTAAAATAATAATCCAAACAGGATACGATTGTGCTGGTGTTCTTTCAGATCAGCATAACCCGTCACAGCATACCCATAGTCAGTACGCATGCGCAAGACCTCAGATTTGTGTTTATCCCTTTAGTTATGTACGAAAAACAGACTTTAAACTACGTCAATGGGCATGTATCCCTTTAGTCATGTACAAAAAAAAAACATTTAAGGTTAGGTCGCCAAACGCTTCAAAAACAGAATAAACTAAGTAATTAAATTGTTTTTTTTGTACATTGCTAAAGGGAAAAACTCCCTTTGAGGTAGTTTAAAGGGTATTTTTCCAACAAAACTAAAGGTATAAATGGGTATTGACTATGGGTATGCTGGTCTAACCAGGTATGGTCATCTGACAGAACACAGGCTTTAGGAATCTAGGAATGGATTTTTTTTATTATCCACAGTTTGCCAAATAGCTCAGTCAGATCAGGAGGAAAGTGTGTAAATGTGACTTTTCTTGCCTCATATTAGCAGGCTTTAATCTTAGGATGTTTGAACAAATAAATGTATTCTCATATACACCTGTTTATTTGTTTGTGTCTGTTCTGCTGGAAGATGAACCTCCATTCTGTCCATAGAAGGACTGCACAATTTTTGTCAAATAACTGAGTTGCAATTGCAATTTTTAGGGATGCACGATATAATCGGCCCCCTATCGGTATCGGCCTGTATTGGCCTTAAAACTGAATATCGGACATCGGCCACCCCACCGATACTTAACCCGATATTTGATCAGCAGTTTCTAAAGTCTTAAAAAAAAAAAAAAAATACTACTTCTTCTTCTTCCTCAAAAACTTCTTTTTTACAG